TTCAGCAGAAGAAGACCTGGAGGTGCTGACTGATGGCTGCTGAACATGAGCCAGCTTGTGCTGCCCAGACAGCCAAGAAGACCAACAGCATCCTGGGCTCTACCAGCAATAGTGTGGCCAGAAGGGCCAAGGCAGTGATCATCCCCCTGTGAGGGCAACACTGCACCTCAAATCCTGTGTTCAGTTCTGGGTCCGCCACTACAAGAGAGACATGGAGGTGCTGGAGCAGGTCCAGAGAAGGGCAACGAAGCTGGTGCAGGGCTGGAGCACCAGCATGATGAGGAACGGCTGAGGGACCTGAGGGTGTTTAGTCTGGAGAAGAGAAGGCTCAGGGGGGAACCTTATTGCTCTCTACAACTGCCTGAAAGGAGGATGGAGCCAGGAGGTGGCTGATCTCTTCTCCCAAGGAACAAGCAATAGGACAAGAGGAAACAGCCTCAAGCTGTGCAAGGGGAGGTTTAGCCTGGATATTAGGAACAATTTCTTTCCCAAATGGTAGTCAGGCATTGGAACAGGCTGCCCAGGGCAGTGGTGGAATTATCATCCCCAGAAGTGTTCACAAACCATGTAGATGAGGCCGTCAGTGACTTGGTTTAGCGGTAGCCTTGGCAGTGCTGGGGCAATGGTTGGACTTGATGATCTTGAAGGTCCTTCCCAACCCAGCTGATTCTATGGTTCTATGATTCTAGCACAGGCATTTGGAGCACTTATGTAAGCGGTTGTTTTGTTCACGGAATTTCAGATGCTCTTATAGATGGAAATAGATCTTACTCTCCTGAGCTGTGCAGTTAATTTCTCTGACCCCTGGTAGGTGCAGCTCCAAAATCCCAATGATCAGCCTTGGATTAATCAGGGCTCCTTCGCCACACACTCCAGGAGACTGCAGCATCTCCTGGGGTAGGTTATCTTGCATTTATCACCAGTTAGGATAGCGGCCAGGCCTATTTCCTGTGTCATTTCCAGCTTCACCTGTTGTAAGGGTTGCTGTTGCTTGGTTCCCCACATAAACCAATCTTACTTACACAACCAATTATAGTGGTTTGGCTAGTTAATGTATCCAGGAATGTGCATTTGTCAGAATCCTACCATCCCGACAGAATGCTTTAAAGTCTTTCTTGTTTCATGGTAGCTTTGTGTCTGGGAACTGTCAGCAACAATAACTGCAATTCAGAGACACTGAAAGACACTTGAATACAGGAGGCAGTGTTCAGATGGATCTTGTCACTGAACTAACTACAAGGTCTAAAGCACTGAGGTACACAGCAACTCTGAACTATGGGTATATGGTTCTCAGAGTAAGCTCAAGGTCTGAGACAGGCAGTAACATGCTGCAGAAAATGGGATTGTAAATGGTCATCCCTTTCAACCTATGAACATCCTTTTAGTAGGACTTCTATTTGCTTCATTTCACACCAACAACCTTCTTTAGCAGCTGCTGCTGCACTTTCCTTCCTTCCTTTCTTCTCTTCTTACTGGGGACTCCAGCAGGAAGTAACAAAAGGAAGCAATCTGTAGTGTTTTATATGGGATCATCTCAGATGATTAAAAAGGAAAGAATGTACAAAACCCAGTTGTCTCTACTCTGTTCATTCCCTTCTCCCCTTGCTCAAACCAGGGGTGCAGATGTGTCTGCTTAATTTCTGTTTTGTTTTTCCCATAAGGAGCTAGTGCAGCAGTGTGTTGGGTAGGTTTGTTTGTTTATTTATTTAGTTATTTAAACAAGTGTTAAGACCTTCCTTGTTCAGCTCAGGTACCAGCCTAGGTACAACATGAGTGACTAAACAGCAACAGAGGACCAACTCAGTACCCCAGATCATAGCTTAGCAGTGCAGCAGGTTGAATAAGGAATCAGAGCTTGAGTGAAAGATGGCATTTGTAGCCTCCACCAACATTGTCATACGGTATTTGTGTACCCAACTTGAGCCATGACAGCAAGAGAAAGGGCAAATCCTGAACCTCATTGGGATCACAAGGAGCAGCACATAAATGTGTCAACCTCCAAGCAGAACCAGTTTTCCCTGAATCACAAACTCAGGCCATGTTCTTTGAGAACTGGAAATGTATGTTTCGTACCTTTGCACTTCAGATAGCCCCGCATATTGCATCCTGGCTCTGAAGACTTCATCTCAGAGAATACACTATTATCAAGAACAGAAGCCACAGTGATGACTGTATACCCACAAACATTTATGATTTTTCGAATTATGGAAGGTGCTGTAAAATGTAATCTTGGCCACTCCCCTATCCATCATACAGATGTTCACAGCTTGGGGGCTTTCATTACATTGAGAAATACTCATCAAAATAGAAGCCTAATTAACACCTCTTACAAAGTCTGCAGAAAGTGATTCACTAGTGTTACGCTGTAAACAGCAATAACTGGATTCTTTGAGCACCTCAAGCAATTTGACAGCAATATCATTCACACATGCACCTTTTTGGCACAGCCCTTGCAAAACTGTTCATTCTCAAGAGAATTATTCAGGGCAGAACTGAAACTCCTCCAAACCCGATTATAGCCTAATGATGACTTTCACTATACAATCAAGACACACAAACACAAGTTGTTCTGAAAGGCTTCTTCTACGATTAGCTGTTCAAGACAGATTAACAGTAACAATTAAAGGAAGAAAAGGGAGAAGTTTGTTTTTTTTTTAATAAACTTTTAATGTGCTATATAGGCATGATCACTACGAGATCTTCCACCTATACGCAATACTACATACTGCAACACGCCGCATTTTCACTGTACATTAAAAGGTCTGAGAAGAATATTCCTTCACTGGAAAAATATCATACAATCACTTAAATAAACAAAGACAGCATTACAGTGCAAACAAAAATCCCCATTTTATTTATTCTGCAATTAATGAGCACTTCTTTCTAAAAGTCTTTTTAAAAAAAAAAATAATAATAAAAAACCCAAAAATGCACTTTCCACAGACAACCAACATCTTCTGGGATTATTTCCTCTGGCTGAATCAAGAACCCTGATCTGATCCTTGAAGCTGTAATAAACTTTACACACATTCGTGTGATGCTTATTCACCTGATTTGTATGAAGCAAGGATCCTGACCCAGAATCTGCAGACTGCAATAAAACGGCACCTGCTGGCTTCAGCTGACTTTCAATCATGCCCATGACAAGATCTGGTACAACAGTTATCCCCATGAGGTAAAAACAGTGTGCTTAAGGAAGCCTGGCAAGGCTTTGGTTGTTGTTGGTTTTTCTACTGGTAATTGCTCTTAGAGAGAGTAGGGGCATACTTTTCCATTACAGGAATAAATTGGCCACAGAACAGCAATATTGCCAAATTCTCAAAAATGCACTTCAACATGCAAAAGAAGAGATGCGACATACCTCTGTCTCAAGGGGCATGATAGAGTTGCGAGAGCCCACGCAGGCAAAGACTCAGACAGCAGCCGATTCAATCTAATTCCTAACCTCTGCAAGCTCTGCCACCCTCATGTACTCCTACTCTGGTGGAAGAAGAATGTGCTGATTTAAAAGTGCCTGTATGCTCTTACCAATTGGATGATGTTAGGAGGAGAAGAGCTCTGAAAAGACTTTAGGGAAATGAAAAGCAAGTGTAGGTGAGTATGTGAAAAAGGGGATGCTTAGTTTTATTGGAGAGGAATGTTGTCTCTTTGTACTCTGTTGTGCCACCGTTCTCTCAGAAAACCACCAGAGCCTATTACAATGCAGATTCAAATTCGGGTGAGACAGCTGCAGCTTGACCCGCTACTGTTGCTGCACAGAATGACAATGGGCTCCCCACATATGTGATCCAGTCCAGTTAAAACTGTGTTGGATGTCATGTAAAGAGCAAGGCAAGCTTAAAAGGAAGCAGAACATTCATCACCAGTGAGATTATACAGGACATCCTTGAGGTTTTTACCAGATTAGACAATATAATGAAGCACTACTTTTACAGGCAGTAAGTGGATATTTCATTATAATTCTCCTATTTGCACTTCTTTCTAAACATACATAAAATGGAAGAGTAGTAGGTAAGAAAGCTGAATTAAATAACACACAATTTCACACTCCTATTGCAGCCTGTAAAATACATATACTGCATATAACCAGTCTGCTACTACAACGGCTGGTGGGTTAATGCACATCATTCTAGACACAGGTGGGAAATGGCACAAAATGAGGACTACTAGGCTATTGATTGTCCAGTTCTAATTTCTGCACAATTATATATATATATATATATATTTCATTTATCCCCTTGAACGAGCACAGAGAGCATGTAGAAAATATCTCTCATGTAGATGGGCACTGAGTTGGCAGGACTAAGATTCAGAGCAGCTTGTGCAGTGCTTCTGGCTGACAGTGACTGAAATACAGCAGAAGGCTTCTGCTTATGGTGAAAATGAACACTGGCCAGAAGGTAGGTGTCACGGAACCTTGTTTTAAAAATGTCTTGATACACCAGAAAAACAAATTTCTGCTACATACCAAAGTTCTCATTTGTACAGCTGCAAATATCATCTTAGGGAAAGCCAGTATTACAACACAATTGTTAGTCTGCTATCTCAGTAGGACTGTTTGATACAGATGAATGAGCAAGTGAAGATTTTGCCTACAAAGCTTTATAAAAGACTTTGACCACCCACATGCATAAATACTAACCCATATACTAAAATGCCTCATTCTTAACTACGTAAAACATTACGGTTTAACTGCACCAAACAGAATTAGCTGCCTGCATCTGAGTGAAACTTGCAAATGAATACAGTAACCCTTAAGAGATTATTTTACCAAAAAGGATAAAAATATATAACAAATTACTTTTTCATTACATTCCATCTTCATAAATAATTGACCAGGATTTGCTTTTACAAAATTATTTTAAGATTGTGTGCCTAATAGGAGTTCAAGATTTGACTACCCCAAGAAACTTCATTAAAAATCACCCAAAACCCACCAGGCTAAGTGAGCAGAGCCACAGAACTCACCTGCTAAGCAGCTTTTTCTCAGGTCCATCAAGGTACTCTTTCACATGAAGAAGTTTCTCAGGGTAGCAAGAGAATAAAAGTTGCTGGCGTTTTACTGCTGAGAAGAACTTGTTGATTCTTCTCAAAACATGGAGGAAGAACTGTTGGGAAGTACTTTCACTCACAGAGAAGCTCTGTGAAGGTTGTCTGTTCTCTTTGTACTAAAATAAAATTTCTTTCTGTTATGTAGAAGCCTGGTTTTGGAGGCACCCTGCAGCATAAGAGTACCATACACAACTCTACAAAGCATCCACAATCCCAAGACTAAAGGCTGTCACTCCATCACAGACTCAAGCACTGAATTCTGGCAATGAATTCTGTGCAACCCAGCTTACCTCTCACCTCCCATCCACAGGAAGGGGTGAGACTAGATTATTAGAGGGTCCGCACAGCTACAGGGTAGAGCAGCGACAAGTGTTCTGCTCCTTTGATAGGCAGCTTTTTTGTAGTGTAGTAGTGGATGACTTCAGGAACACTGTCAAAGGGAGGGCTGTTCTGACCCAGGATGTACTTCTCTTTGGTCTTCATCAGCTTCATGTGCATAAAACCTTGACTGCTCCTGCAGGGAAAGCAAAGTGTTAGTTCATGCTTGTGCATAGGGAAGAGGGGAGCAGAACCACAACAGGCTCTCCTTCATGGAAGGGAAAGTAGGATAACAATGTACAGATAGTTGCTGGGTGACAGGCCAAGACAGTGGCCAGACCGTGACAGACAATGACAGCCTGCAAACCCCAAGGACACTGCAACACACAGGCAGCCTAACCCAGTATGTTGTTTTCATCACATATGCTGTCTGGATTCAGGTGCAAGACTAGAGATGATCCAGAGGTGTGCTAGATCACATCCCCTTTCCTGTCCTACCCAAGTATTTACCTGTTTACTGTTCACTACAGCTAATCGCTACTTCTGGACTAAAAGGTATCATTAGTCTTGGCCTGCCAGGGGGCTGAGGCTCTCTTCATTAGACACACAGGCGGGCCATGAGCCTCACTCAGGTGAAGCAAGGCCTTCCCTACTCTGTCCTGTTACCCACGGGACAGACAACACCTATTCCAGCCTCACAGCATCTGCCCAGAGCATGGCTATGTGCAGAATCTGGTGGTTTTAGCTGGGAAAACTTCTGCAGATGAGCCCATTCCCAACATCAGTGGCATAAAGACTTTCATCTGCCCTCTACTGAGCAAAGGCTGCAATCCTGAAGCCTTTCTGCAGGCAGAAACCAGTCTGTGTCTTCCACAGCTGCCCTAGGTTCAGCTGTAACAGTCATTTTTCTCTTTTCCTGTAGCTGGTGCAGTGCTGTGTTTCACCTTTAGTCTGAGAACAATGCTGATAACATGCCCATGTTTTAGTTGTTGCTCAGTAGCGCTTACCCTGATCAAGGACTGCTCAGTCTCATGCTCTGCCAGTGAGGAGGGGCATGGGAAGCCAGGAGGAAGCAGACAGGACAGGACACTGGACCCAAACTAGCCAAAGGGGTATTCCATACCACAGCACGTCATGCCCCATATAGAAACCAGGGGGAGTTACCTGAAAGGCCCAGATCTCTGCTCGGGTCGGGCTGGGTATCGGCTGGTGGGTGGTGAGCAATTGTATTGTGCATCACTTGTGCTTATTGTTTTGGTTTCTTTTCTTCCCTTTTTAGTTTTATATTCTCTCCCCCTTGTTATTTCCCTTATCATTATTATTATTGGTGGTAGCAGCAGTGGTTTGTGTTATACCTTAGTTACTGGACTGTTCTTATCTCAACCCGTGGAGTTACATTCTTTTGATTCTCCTCCCCATCCCACCAGGAGCAAAAGGTAAGAAGAGGGGAAGTGAGCAAGCGGCTGCGGCTGCGTGGTTTCAAGTTACAGCTGGGCTTAAACCATGACAGCATTCAGAAGCATTCAGTTCCTAGATGACCTGCCTACACAGTGCATTGCCTCTTTGAGGGAAGGCTTATGATTATACAGGGAAGACTCCCACAGTAATGACTGCCCTGTCTGCTTCTGCAAAAGCAACCCATCCGACATAATGTCACTCTGAGGGGTAGCATCCCACTGCCATATAGTACAGTAGTGATAGAGCTGACCTCATCTCTTCCCAGCAGTGCCTCTTCAGTGTCTGCTGTCTTAAGCATGTCATACAGGCTATTTAATAGTATAGAGTTTAGCCAGAACAAAACAAAAGCAAAGGGCACCTTTTACACTTCAAAATGTTAAATAAGGCCTAGGTAGAGGGTTTTTACAGCTTAGTTCATGTCTCACTCCCTAACTTGTGGCTCCAAACCACTGACTCTTCCAAGTGTGTCCAGGGACAAATATAAATGTTAAAAACTGGAGTCAGTCTTTGTCAGCAACAAAAAACAGTATAAGATGACACAGAAAGCTACAGCAGGAAGACAAATCATGCCATGTTAAAAGAAGCTTCTCTAAAATCTGCCATTTTCTACTTAGCAGGGGTAGCATTCCCTCCAGAAGTGCTTGTAGCACTATCAAGCTCGTATCTTTCAGATATATTCCACAATTCTCTGATGGACTGTTGAGCAGAAACTACTACAGACACTGTAATTATACCCCTACACAAAATCATGCTTTAAATATAAATTTCTTAGCAGAAAAAAAGGATCTCTTTGAATCATAATGGCTTTCTTTTTTGTTTTTTGTTTTTTTTTTAAACAAGGGTGGCGTCTTTAAATACTTTATTACGAGGACAGATGTTTTGTTCTGCTCCTTCAGTTCACTATGCATCTGCTTTGCTACAAGATGCCTTAAAAAGACAAATTAATGGAATCCCAGGTGCATGCTTATTTCAGGAGTATAGCAAGAACTGAAGAACAATCTACCACATGCACCTCAATACAGAAAGGGCAAGGACACATACCCTTTCTGCAACAGAAAGAAAGCATATGCAAACGAACTGCTACAAGCTGTGTATTCATGACAGACAGCTGTTGCTTCCCTAAGAAACAACTATATCTAGGTCTGGGTAGTACACAGTCATAAAGTATATGATGTCTATGGTTACCAGAATTCCACAAAGAAAAAGCATCTCCTCTATATCATGACAGGTCAGTTTTTTAGGAGGCCACACGGTTTGTGAAGATGAGTAAAAAAAGAATGTGACATAGAAGTTATGGATAGCAGCCTGATGGAATTCCAACGCAAATAGAAAGCTTCTGCCCTTGGGACAGAATAAACTCAGGCAGCAGTGCAATCTGGGGCATGGCTGGCCAGAAAAGGAACTGTGGTGGACAGGACGCAGAACATGATTCAACAGTCTGCCCATGAAGGCCTACTGCAGCCTGGGCTGTGTAGCAAGTGTGGCCAGCTGCTGGAAGAAAGTGAATACTTCCTGTACATAGCACTGATAAGGCTGCAGCTGTACGTGCAACTGGTGCAAGGACTGCCCATAAAAAAGAGAAGCCAACATTAGAGCAAGTCCAGAGCCAGGCCACTAAACACATGGGTTCCAGAGGTGGAAGCACATGATGTACAAGGACAGGCTGAGTGAACTGTGTCTGTTCAGTCTGGAGAAGAAAAGGTGAGATGGAGGGTGTCAGGCTGCAGTCATCCATTGCCTAAATGGGAGAGTTACAGAGAAAATGGAAATTTGAGTCAACAAGCTTGAGTTCCCAGTGGACACAGGGAAAAACTTCACTCTCGTGAGAGTGGTGCAGCCCTGGGCCCAGGCTCTGACAGATCAGGAGGACTCTGTCCTTACAAGTTTTCCAAATTTGCCTGGCCTATACAAAGCACTCAACAACCTGATGAGCATGTCCTGGTTGTAGTAGAGGGTTGGACTTGACATCTCCGGAGGTCAATTCCGAACCAGATCTAGGATTCTATGACTAATTTCTACCATTTGTGTATTTGCAGCCACTAAGTAGAGCTTCTAGTTCAACAACAATTTTAGTTTGAAAAATTTGTAAAAATGTACTATTGAAGAAAAAATATATTTAAAAAAAAAGGAATCAGAGAAACCTATGAGATTAAAAATGTCAGAACTCCCAAGTAAAACTTTCCTGAAACTGAAAATGTGGGGTTTGTGCCATTTTTTTACAAGAGAGCACACACAATCCACCTCAATTTCAAGCTAGACACAAAATACTATTAAGCGGAGATTTTATTTACATACAGATTTCCTGTTAAAACCAACTGCTAGCCACGGTCTTTGTGGAACATCCCAAATAATTCAACTGTCAGTTGGCTATGTGCAGATGAAAACCTGTGAGGTTGTCTTCATTCAGTTATCAGTAATCTTCAGTCACCTTCATTCTCTTCTGGTATGCCTGGACTCACAAAGAATTGGTGCCCAGCAGTAACTGGCAAGGACAGAAGGCATCTACACTTGTTTAATAGCCCTGTTGCTGCTAGACCAGTGACTAGGATTACAGGGACACTGTTCTGAAAAGAACCTAGGAGTTGTACCCCTCTCTCTTCTTCTCCTCCAGACCTTTTAGATTTAAGCTCTGATTTCAGTATGTAGGAAGAATGATGAAATTTCAGGTTGCAATGAAGAAAACACTTCATAATTGAACTGGTTGTAAATCAGTTTCTGCTTAGCTTTCTAAGCACTGTTGGAGTCTACCTGAACAAGTACAAGCAGAACATATGCCTGATAGTGAGTAGTCCTGGTTTTGGAATACTGATTTCTCATCCATTTCAACAGCAATAACTATTAGAACCTGCCATGCCCAAGGTTTTCAAAAAGCAGATCCTAAACAGCAATTCCAAGTTCACATATGTAAACACTGATAAATGCCAGTGCCTTGAAGAGGTGAGACATACACATTTTGCGAGAGAAGATGCTGGGACCTGACCTAAGTCATGTGATAATGTTACTATGTGAATTCTGAATGCCATTGTGGCTTCTCAAGTGTTGCAACAATTCTGCACTACAGACAGTATTTGCTCCTTCCTTTCCTTACTGCAACTATTCCCATGGATTTCAAATACAGAACAGGAGAATTCCTAATTGCTAATCCCTGCACCAAACTCCTTTATAATTCTCAAGCACAGATGTTTACACAGACGCAATACTTGATATACCTTGCTTAAGTCACACCTTGCTTACATGTTTTGCAACACAACCATAAAACCAAGTGACTTTGAATTACAGCTTTCTCACACAGTTTCCTTCTGTTTTCAAAGGCCAGTAAGGATGGGAAAAGAATTTTGCAGACAGCTCATAAGACTGTGCTTTATTTTGATCTTATGCCTCAAGTGAGATACAAGAACATTCAAGAAATATTAAGTAGATACGAAACCTAGCAAATTTTTTCCATAAAATGTTAATGGTTTTGAAAGATCATTAATGTTCACTATCAGAAAAATTGGCCAAGCTTTCTGAACACTGATTTTGCTGAAGAAAATGCTGTTTTGTTAGAACAGATTTTCTGCATTCATTTTGATGAAATGTCACCTGGACAAGGAAAAAAGCAACAACTTTACAGTAACATCAGAAAAATAAGATTCTACCAATGTAGGAAGCATGTTTTGTTGTTCTGTCTTTTCATTTTGAAATGACCTTCCATTTACATGCTGTCACTTTGAGCAAAACCTATAATGCGTTATGCTA